AATGAAATTACTTATCTATGTCATCGATGGTGATTTGGGTGTACAAACATTTTAAAGTTAATAAAGTGCCTTTTAAGGATAGCTATAAAAACGATTAACTCAATATGTCTAATTTAAAATTTACATTTTAAAATTTATATTACTAAGATTGGCTTGAGATATACAAGTTATGCAAGTTTGATTTTAATTCTAAAGTATTTAAAAATTTTCAGTTTTCATTTCGAGGAGAAATTTTAGGCAACATTTATGGGTAACATTTTAACAACTGGGTTTTTTATTATTTTAAATAAGTATTATTAACGTATTATTAATCTAGCTTAAGATATTATTGTCATGTAACAGTACGAATACAAAATGCTATTATTTTAATATTGATAAGCCTTCCAAAATCTTTTTTCTTAAGTTTTCAAATAGAACAAACAAGTACATTTTTCTATTAGGCCCTGACAGCTTACGAAATAAGTTTCTGAAGAGGAGTTCTTTGATCTGTCTTGGTCAATTTGCCCCCCAGGTCAGAAAGTCGCATGTAGAACCGTTGGTACCGCCCAAGCCCCAAATTCCCCCTGGCCATCGAATTAAAGTTGATAGCTTTCCAAACTGTGGGTGATATGGGGTAATGGAGAAAGGAAAGTCACTCGCATGACGCAATCTGGCAATTATCTGGTTGCCATCCTCGAAGTTTCTTCCGACTTGCTCATCGCCAAACCCACACCCATACCCAGAACGGAAAACTCCAACGAATCTGTTTGAGGGGCGTCGTTTGTTCTATTGGAAATTTAATTAGGTTTACATCATTTTCGTGCAGATTCTGCCAGATGGGCTGCGCCCCAAAAGAACAAGCCCAAGATGGCCCGAAACAACAACGGCAGTTGGCCAAAAACAACTTTCACTTTGGGCATTAACTTCTTGAGGGGGCACTCAATTAGAGGCGCATCTACAAGTCAAATATTTTGACTGGGCACTGGAACAATACGAGCATCGGTCGTCGATTAATTAAACTTACCCTCGGCGGTGGTGGGGGCAATGATGCCTTGGCTTGGCACAACAATGCATTAACGTTCCGCTGGCTGACAGACACCAACCACCACCCAATAAAATATTAATGGTTACAATTATGTGCTACGTGGCAAGGATAACAAAGTTCGCATCCTAACGCAATTACAAGACAATCAAAAAAGGCAGCAGCTGAGGAAGTTCAACCAGCAACACATACAATAATTTATGCACCATAAAAAAATATGAATAAAACACGTGCTAAAATAAAATCGAATTTTAATATTTTGGAAAAATGTTTGGTCGTTTAAAATTAAATAAAACGTTTTGTAATACAAAAATAAAACACTTTTAATGTAATTAATTTGGGTGAAATACATTTTTAACGTCTTAAAATAAGTTTAGACAATTGTGGTTAAAGTGACTAAAAAGTAGTTTAATTTAATTATGCCTCTTACGACGAAACTTTTTCAAACCAAAATATAATCTTATTACAAATTTTTGTATGTCAAAATGATATATTAAGTTTTGTGCTCTCAGGTCTTTATTGTTAAGAAATAAATAGTATTTTTATGTTAAAATAAAATAAATGGAAAATATAATACTAATTAATTTTCGTATATAGTTTTTAATAAAACAAAACCCCTTTTTGGCATTATACACACATAGAATTAAAAATATATTTACCCGCTTCAGTATGTAACTTTAATGCCTCCGATTTTACTCTCTTGCTTACTTAATGATGTTTCGTAAATAAGTTGCAATTATTATATTAATTGTGCGACCCTTCCGCCCCAGTTTTGGTTTCAGTGCTTATAAATGCTCGGCATGCTTGAAATAATTCAATGAGCACACACCGAGCGGCGAACCACGCACGAACATTCGCCTGCAGCCCAAACAAGTGGGGTTGGATCGGCTGGGTGGAGATGGAGATTCAATCCCGGGAAGGGGGTCTTCGGGTGGGCGGTCGTACCGCCCGCTGTGCGCTGAATAATTCGTAATGTATCTAACCTCGAAAACCTAATCAAGTCCAGTTAAGCAAATGTGTGCACAACAAGGCTGGGGTCCTGCAATTACCAGCACACAGGACTGACAGGACTCACTTAGAGTGTCGGGTGATATGCTGCCGGGTCCCGGGTCCCGGGTCCCAAAGCCCCCGTTTTCAGACCCCCTCTGGACTGAATCGGTCCGAGGTCCGCACAGAACGTCACACACGAACGCAACACGCTGCCGATGGACCAGGCGCTCAGAATAATCAAATCGACGTTTGGGATTCCGGGCAAAAAGTGCAAGACAAGCCTAAAACCCCCCTTTGGCATTTCCACATGCGCATTGGCACGTGAAACGCTGGAAATATATACATTCAGAGGCATTGTATCCGTGCGAACCAAGTCGAACAATCGAACCGAGCCACCAAGCGGAGCAAAAGCCGAGTCGAACCGAATTAAGACGAGCCCGGACGAACGCCACCCAGTTCGATGGTGTTAAGTTATGGGTGCGAATTGGAGAACCAGGAGGTATGTTAGAAGTTTGACTTATAAACATTAGAAAAAGTAAATTACTTAAATATTTTAACTTTCTTATAGTTATATTAAGTATATTTCAAATACTAACTGATCCGATCCTGAAAAAGTCTATTAAAACTAATATTATAACTAATCCAATCTATAGGAACTTTAAGTCCATTAAATTGAAAATACTTAAATAAATTAAATGTGTTAATCGGACTATTTACATTATCTATTTTAATGTTTTTTTTTAATTGATTCCCACTTTACAAATTGTACACTCAATAATTGATTTTCCATAAAACTTACGTTTTGTTTTTAAAACAGTTAAAAAACAAACCTTTATTAATTAGGAATACAAAAATAAGCTTTCATTCATTTAACATATTTAAAAATTAAATCCAAATTTGTATGCATTTCTTTGAGTTTTTTATAGTTCAACAGGAAAAGTTAGATATAAACAAAACAAAATATTGGTAATAATTTTAAACAATTATGATTGAAACTAAAAAAACAGAAATTGTAACAGAAGTGCAGAGTATATGATATTCGAAAAACCCTTGCTCTTTGGTTTGCTAGCCTTGCGTGTTCTCCCGAAAAACACTTCTCCCGGCTGCAGTCGGCTCTGGAAATTATTCAGCTGGCAATTTTCCGGCTCACCCCGCGGCCGCTGCCCACCGAACGGCAGCCAAGCGCTGAGCGGAAAATTCACTTTTCGCCATCGCTGCGCACTTGTGCCGAAAGTCAGTCGGGCACGTCCGCCCTCCGTCAGGTCCACGGGTCAGTTGTCGGCGGTAGTTGTGTGGGTGAATGGAACACACCCCCCGCTCCCCCACCCCCTGGCAGTGGGTGACCTCGGGGGGTGGTGGTCGCGAGGCGGCAGAAAAAGCCACTCTCTCATTTGCTCGCTCAGTCGATTTAATCGTTTAGTGCGCCCTTTTGCGCCTTATCAACGTTTCATTTAATTTAGCCCGAAACCTTTTTCGGTTTCGATTTGTGGGCGGTGAGGACGTTGGAGGGGCGCCTCCCGGATTCGGTTACGGATTTCGATTGGAATTCCGGATTCCGTCCGGATTACGAATTCGGAATTGCTGGATGGCCAACCGAGTTGCGGTTGATTAGGTGTTATCGTTATGATTAGTGGTCGCTCGAGTGGCAACTCCATCCGGAAGGCTGCGGTTTTCCAAAGGCTCGTGGGTTGTGGGGTCAAGTGGTGGTGTGGCGGGGTGGGCGTCGCGGTGTGTGGGCGTGGTGTGAATGGGCGGACAAGCGGATGATTAGTTGAGAGCAATTGGGGGATAAGCATCTCAATAAATTGATTGTAAACTACAGAGACTAGGGAGTGAACAAAATGTATCATAAATTAGGGATAATAAATGTTCCGGAAATTTAATGGGTTGTCAAAAATTAAAATATTTGAATGGAGGAATTACTAGAAAATTGTATTTATTAAGAAAACGAAATCTGCAAAGAAAATGTTCCTCAACATGGTAAAGCAAGGAGATGGACGATGGGAAAGGGGGTAAGGAAAATGTATTCGTGTCTCGCAGTAGCGGGGATTTATTAATATTTTCCAGCGGTGCTGCACCTCCCTAACCCCATATTTCCCCCTCTTTTATCCGTCTTTTCCACCGTTTTTATTATTTTTTTGTTGCATACATTTTGTAATTTCTTTGTGGAACTCTGTTCTCTTGCCTCCCATTTCCCCCCATTGAGTCCTTTTTGCCTGTACGGTATCCTCGCTATCCTTGGCGCTTTTATTCATTCATTTATTTGCGCTTTTCTACATTTCTTTTTTCGCTCTTTTTCCTCGCCATGTTCTCTCTCCAGCTCAATTTCTTTGGGAACTTTCCTTCACGACTTTTCTTACGTTTTTTGTAATAATACCCACGCTTGGTATGGGAATTTCGATCGACAGCATAATAAGTGACATTTAATGGCGTTTCGAATACTCTTAACTATAATAGCTTTTATGTATAATATTAAATTTTATTGAATTGATTCTTAAAAATAGTATAGAGTATTAAGTTACGTTTACTTTAAACGCTGGAAAATTTCGATCTTAAACGATTCGAAAATTAAATTAATATATTTTTATTTTGTTATATAGTTTCATATATTAGTTTCTTGAAAATAGTTTCATCAAAATTCAAATAAAAGAATTCTTAAGCTTGATAGCTAACTCGCAAATAAAATTAACATTTTATATGTTATTTATTTTTAACAAATTTAAAATTTAAGTAAAAGCTATTTTGTGCTTTATGGCTTATTTGTTAAAATAAGATTTCATACCATTTAATACAATTTTTAAAATATGTTACAAAATTGCGGGTAGAAAGGGTAAGTCCGTTGTCGTTGTTTCCATGCTCTTATTCTTCTTCCCGTTCCCTTTCCAGTTTTCTTCTACGTTTTTTCTGTGTTCATTTTGCTTTCTTTTGCATTTTTTCTTGGTACAAAGTTGCCGCTTTATTGTTTCGATTTAAGTTACTTTGTATGCTGTCAACGTTGGGTAAGATGGTTATATAGCGAGTGTTGGCACGGGGAGGGGAGTTGAAATGGGGCGCAGGAGGTGCCGGGAATGGGGATTCAGGGAAGGTCCTCTCGGGGTTCGGGTTTGGGTCTGTGGGTCTGTGGGTGGCCAATTCTTTGCACCGACCGACGAATGCCCGCATCGAAATCGCTTGGGAGCCGCTTTGGGTTTCATTGTTGCCTGGTTTTATTTCATGGCAGGGAAATTGGGGAAAGGGGATGGACCTGAGGCTCTGAGGCTTGTACTTTGATTTGTCGGCCCCACAATTTTGTTTCGGCCCGGCATCGAGTTTTATGCTCGTTTAATGGCTGCGAATTTACTCGCTTTATGCGTCTTCGATAAGCATTTATTAGCGCCATGAAAATAGGGGGAGGACATCCATTCGTTGGGTTGGGGTGGTGTGATTTTGCAGCGTGGGTAATGGTTACAGTATTGGCTCACTTTTTACTGGGTGGCCGATGGGGCGTATGATTTATTTTTATGTTATTCATTTATTTTTTATGCTTTGTCTCTCGCCAATTCACTGTTTTCGTTTGGGGGCTTTGTGGATTCATCTTTGGGGTATTCCGCAAATCCTAAGGAACATATGCTGACAGTTTTTTCCTCTGGGAAATGTCTTTGAAAATATTTTAGCGCATTAGGCAAGACATTTTTTGCAAAAGTTAGGGTGTTATTTCCTAGCAAAGTTTAATTTATTATATTTCTATCAAAATTTTATTATATTTCGTGATAGCTTTACAAGTTATTATAGCAAAATTAATTAAGAAAGTATTTCTTTACACATAAACCTTATCCTCAGTATTTTATATTTAGGCAAAACCACTTGTAATATATTTCCTGACCTTTCATTTCTTTATTTAACTATTTCCCAAATGGGTTTTCATATGTCTTACAGAGCAGTTTCTTCTTTAAATTGGTTTCTCATCCATTTTTCCCTTTTTAGTTCTTCATCTCTGCTCCTTTCTCATTCCATCTCTGACATTTTATCCTTGTCACTGCCGCATCCTCTTTTCCATAGCCATCAAGAGCACAGCCCCCACCTTTCTCCTTGGCTATATTGCAATTTTTGCTGCTGTTGCCCATAAAACTTTTCCACAATTTTTCCTCCTCTGGTTTTCTTTTTTCCCCTGCCACGCCCCCGTGGAGACAGGGGATGTGGGTGGTGTAGGGACAACAACAAGGACAACATTTACTTGTCTGCTTAACTGCAAAGACAAACCTTACCCAGTCCGCCCGAGTTTTTCCCCATCCAGCAAGCTGCTTTGCCTGTCATCTAAAATTCATTTTTATACTTGTATTTTCTCTCTTGCTTTTTTATTTTTTTTCTATTTTTTTGCGTTGCTGCTTTTTTATTTCAGTTCGTTTTTGCCATTTTCTTTTCTTGAGCCATTTTTATTATTTTTGTCATAAGCTCGCTGTCGGTGTGTCTGTGTGTGTGCTTGTGTGTGCAGGCTGATGTGCTTGTGTGAGTGGCGGCTTCTTTATATATTTTTCATTGTGCCACCCTTAACCCCCCTGCCCCCTCCTAGCGCGCCATTGCTTCATCCAAAACTCACAGAAGTCAAATACGTTTTAATATCTTTTCTCTCTTGACATTTTCACTACAGTTATGTTGCCATTTTTCCTCTCCGCTTTTGTAAGTGTGTATGCGTGTGTGTGTGAGTTTGTGTTGGGGATATATGTGCTATATGCACGTATGGGTGTGAGTTTTTCTTCGCTTTTGGAGCTCACAGCTTCACGTAGTCGAAAGTCGCGCCAAGTTCTTCTTCTTCTGTGCGAAAGTATGTCGTCCTATTTGTGAGTGTGTGTGTGTGTGTTTGAGTATTCCATGGAAAACGCATCCTTCGCCTTCTGACTATAATGTCCCTCGCTGTTTGTGGGTGTGGGCGCAGCTTAATGCCTTTGCCATCATTTCGCCCACTTTTCCCACCCCCACCACAACGTCCTTCGCCGGCTGTTGCAGGCTGCTGTCATTGTAGGAGCCAACATGTTCGCTTTCCCTCGGTTCCACATTCACCTCCTGTGTCCCCCTTTGCGAAAAACCCAATCCTCAGTTTCCCTGCACCCCTTTCCACATTTTCCCACCGTTTCGATGCAAGCGTAACATTTTGCGCCACAATTTTCCTTTTTTGCTGGGTGGTCTTTTGCGTTAGCAAGGGGAGCTCTTTATACGCTACAAAAAGGATCTTGCTAAATACATACAAACATTTTGTAACCTATTAAAAAATATAAAGTTACAAAACTAATAACAACAAATTTAATAGTTGAAGTTTTAAATTTTTGAAACTATTTTTTTTATTTAATGCTAAATCTAATCTAAATCTAAATCTATCTGCAAAACTGTTTGGTCAATAAAATAATGTTAAAATATTCTATAAGTTATAGTTTTATATAGTCAGAGTGTCAAAAATTCTTGAGTTCTTCACCTAACTTTCTAGTGTCCTTTCCGTGCACCTTCCCCTTGCACCGCCCCAGTCCCACCTTCACCTCCTTTACCGCCTTGCCATCTCACTTTGTCCCTGTTCCTCGACGACATGCAATTTTTTCCTCTGTCTGTATTTGCCTGCTCTGACTTGAGCTTTTAAAAATATTTTTGCTGAATTCTCCACTCGCCAAACACACTGAAAGTTAACCGAAATGTGGAATTTACTTATGTACCAGTGGGTGTACATAAGAGGTATGTATATTCAGGGGCTACTCTATGAAATGGTCAACAGAGAGTACCACCCTCCCACTCGCAGAACGTGTAAACATTATGCAAACATTCCCGCCCACTCTCGGCGAACAGAGAACATTCCGAATTACAATCCCCAATTACCATCACCTGACTGCATAATTAAATACAAAACGATTTTCCTTTTAATCTGCGGATGCAGAACAGAGCGGCGGACACAAAAACGATGACACGCCCCCCAAAAGGCCTCCCAGCCCTAAGCCGAACAACCGCACATAAATAATTAAAAAGGAAAATTCCACAATTGCAAAAAGGTCAGCGTATAAAAATTACAAAAATCGAATATTAAATTACCAACAGCAGGGAAAGCAGAAAATGTCGTTCTGCCGCAGTCGACGTTTGCTCGACTTAACCCAACTTAACTGCTTGACAGCAAATTTTGTAAAATGTAATTAACCAACGCCGGTCCTACGGTCGAGGAAAATGGGGGAAAAGCCGAGCTGGCAAACAACAAAAAGGATGGAAAATGGGGAAGGACGAGAAGGGGTGGACAGAAATAAAAGCCAAACGAAATGGGGGAAAATCAACAGAACTCGTTGACATAATTTTCAAGCATCCCAAAGTGTGAGAGGGAGATAGCCGGTCGGAAAGGGGGTGAAAATGGAAAAGCAATGAGTGTGTACGTTTTCGTCTTATGGGTTATACTCGCTGCTCTTTGCTGATATCCCAGCCGAAAGAGCTGGACTAGAAGATACCCGATACCCGTTAAAGTCCACAAACCACCATGAAATTACAGAAACCGGGGAAAAATTATGTTAACAGAGCCCTAACAGATGGGAAAATGTCTAAATTGAGTGGAGATTGGAAAACAAATGCAACATCGGGTTAGGTTTGAAATAAATAATAAGCCTTAAGTATAATTTATAGAAATTAACCTTTAATTTTAAGTTAGAAACTATAAGAACTTATGAGTAAACCATGTTTAATAACTAATTTCATTAATTTGCAAATATTTATTTATTAATATTTCACTAAACAATTACCTTAAAGAAATAGAAAAACTCCTCTTAATATACCAGATAACACTAACCACTTCGCTACCCCTCTGCTGCCCTCATATCATCACTAAATAGTGTGAGGGGTGGATCTGTTATTTTTTGGGGGTTTCGGTTTAGGTTGGCAACCATTTGTTGAACCTTTTTCTTTTATTCCTGTTCTGTTTGCTCGGCCACAAAATTTGCGCCTCATTTTCACAGTACCCCAACAGTAGCGAGCGAGACAGAGAAGGACCTTTCTCGTTAGCTATCCCACTCGCTATATGTACCTGTCTCTGTCTATATCCGTCTCTTTTCTTTCCTTTTGCCGCACGTGGCCTGTCAGGAAACATGCTAAGCAGCGGCTTCCACATGCTGAAAGTCATTTTGATGGCCCAACAAATTCATTCCCGCCACCTCTCGCCAGTTACAAACCACCCGAAGGGACCCCAGGGGCCTTCAACCCTATGCGCTACCCTCTACCCTCCAGGCCACACTTGGCCCACCTCAATTCAATTTAACTTTCAACTTTAGCTCTCGCTTTCTCTCTGCTTTCTCCACCCCCCAAGTTGGTTCTCTTATTCTCTCTCTCACTCGGGTGGGTTTTCGATAATGGAATTTTTCCGTAAGGTCCGCTTCCTGTGAATTCTGAGCGCCCAGTCAACTCCCGCGTTAGTCGAACGCAACCAACGAGCGGGCGAACCGAACGGCGAACGGAACAACGAACGAACAGCTGGCGAGCGAGTGTGACAGAACAACAGCGAGTGGGTCGAAGCGCCAGACGCTCCTGGATTTCAGATTGCGAGTCTGAGTTGCTGGTTGGACTAAGTGGGGTAATACACTCGCAAAATTATGGACTGCAGTTACTTTAAAGCAATTAATTATATTGCATGCATAAATGTTTTAATATAATAAGCTAGCAAAGGGCTTACAATTAATAGCATTTATAAATAACTGTAAATTACTGACTACTTAGATACAGAAAATTGTCATCAAAAGATAGTCACATTGCACAAAGCATTTAAAATATTTGAAATTTACGGAAAAAGCTTAAAATTTGTGATTAGTTATTAAAGAGTTAATTGAAACTATAAAAATTATTTTATATAAACATGAGCCAATTGATTCAATAAAATACGGGTTTTAATTCGGGTTCCTGATTTTTTAGGCTATATCAAAACTTTTAAGTGTAAGGAGTCTACTTTACATATAGGGGATGAGGGGGTGGCATCCTCTCGCTACTGATTGTTACTGTTGTTGGCAAACGACTGTGCTTTTATCGTTTACTTGTGTGTGAGCTTGGGAGTTTGGGGACGGGGTCTGTAAAAGGGGTTTTGAGTAGGTTTGCGGGTGGCGTTTGCAGAATGGTGGATGTGGGATGTGCTTGAGAGCAAGTGCCCAAGCCGAGCACCTCGACACAAAGAGGATCCCAAGAAAATCGTTTAGCGGATAAAGTCTTAGGGGTAGCGCTGCCCCGAGGGCAAGAAACTCAAGTTACGAGAGCAAGAAGGCAAAAGATGAGCTTTTAGCCCTGCAAAGTACCAGGCAATCAGATTCAGTTACTTGTTCTAAAGTCCAGAGGATGCTAAAGATTTCAATGCATTTAAATTGAGTGAATTTCAGCTAACCATTTAATTTAAATGTTCCTATA